AAAGAGCTTAAATCTAGAATAGGGATGGGCAAATTCCAGTCTGTGGATTGGATCTGGTCCACAGGGTTAATCTCTGGTGGGCCCCTACCTCCATGTTTACCTGCACCTGTGCGGGTATCAGACGATTGCAGCTCTTGTTGGCTATGAATCACCGTTCACTGCCAATGCGAGCAGCAGGAAGCAGCATCCCGAGCTGCATCACTTCCTGCTACTCCGATTGGCCACAAATGGCCATTTGTGGCCAACAAGAGCTGTGATAATCTGATACCTGGAGAAGCACATGTAAGCACTGTTATCCCAAAAATTCCCACTGGAGACCACCTAGGGTTACACTAGCATGGATTTATTGATTGAGGAATTAACACTCCACTATATGCACTACAAGGTTAAACTAAAAAGCTGCCACTAAAGGTTTAAACTAAAGGGGGAACCAGCTATTTCTCTCTCTCACACACACACACCTTCATTCATTTATACACATTCATGTCTGCCCTCAGGCACTCACACACTTACACAGGCATATGGATTGCAGAAGGAGACAAGACATGTTGTTACACCTGGAGGGTCTGTCTGCTGAACATGGCTGGGGAGCTGGTCAGGAAAGAAACAGGCTGCAGAAAGAGGAGAGTCTCAGAAAGAGGGCTACTGCCATGCGCTTTCTCCTTTTATTGCCTCTGTACAATTCCTGTGACTCATCCACATTTGTCACCAGGGAGTGTGCCCAGACTTCCCTTGATCCAGCAGAGCAGCAGTATCTCCTTAATTGGTTTGATGACTCATCACCTGGCTCCAAGTACTTAGCCTTGCAGTTTCTAATACCAAACACACAATAGTCTCCACTCAAACACACACACATTCATATCTCAGGGAAAAATGCAGTTTAGAGCAAGTTACAAGCAAAGTGGTTAAAAGTTACAAAAAGTTACAAGATTTAACAAAGATTGAGTTGCAGAGTTTAAAAGGCAATGCAGCTTAAACAATTACAAAGCTTCAGAGAATCATTTACAAATAATCAGTAATGAAGAGATTTAGAAGACAATTGCTCCTCTTTCCCCCTATCCCCAAGCAATGCAGTCAGCAGGAGGCTTTTGTCAGTCTGTAAGTCATGTGTTGGCAGGATCTTACAGTTAGGTGTGCTTCCAGAAAATCCACGTGTAAAATCCAGTAATAGCGTGGGTGGAGGCTTTTATGACACACAGTGGTGGCAGCCCGCTTGGGACTAACCCAGGTGGGCTGCCTTTTTCTTTTCTCTTTTTCTTTTTCTTTTTTTTTTTTTATTGCCCATCCCTGATCTAGAAGGACAAGACAAAGGAGGAGGAAAGGAAATATAATCCACATTTTATAGATAAAATAAGTGTCAGACTAAAGGTTTGGGCTTTTTTCTTTCCAGGAATGCTAATCACTTGCTGTTTCCTTTTACTATTTTTTGAAATTTGGGTGCTTGGCACTTTGACTATTAAGGCTCTGAATGGCTCATGATCAAACAGGAAGTCCACAGTGGCACCAGCAACTTAACTTGGATTTTTGAGTCCCAGTTCAGTATTTTAACCTCCAGTCTGTCCAATCTTCAGTAATAGGTCACTAGAGGTTTACCTCTATGGAATAGTAACTCTGGTGGAGGGGAGTAATGGGGAAAAGTTCTGATTAGGGTTCAATGTCTTCCAGATAAACTCTCACAAAATCATCTACCTTTAATGCAATGGTTTTCCATGGCATTAGGAAAAATATAGGGCATTAGTGAAATTTGGTGTCCACACTTTCACAAAGGTGTAACAAAATTAAGTGGTTGGAAACTGAAGCTAGACAAATTCAGTCTAGAAATAAGATAGAACATTTTATCAGTGAGGATAGTTAGCCATTGGGGAAAATTACCTAGGAATGTAATAAATTTTCCATTATTTAGTCTTTACCTCAAGACTGTATATTTTTATAAAAAAGAACCTATAGCTCAAATGCAAGTTTTAAGTTTGATGCAGATATTATTTGGTGAGGTACTTTGGCCTGCATTATGCAGGAAGTTAAATAGACAAACTTGGTGGTTCCTTTTGGCCTTAAATCTGAATATGTTCAATGAATTGTTTTCAGTGTCTATGTAGTGATGTAAGAGCGTAGTTCAGGTGTTCTCATTTCATAATTGTCAATTTATAAAAATAGGGATGTGGTCATTTTACCTGTCCATTGAAATAGTTTTTCTATTAAACCATCTAGACATGACCTACTGTGGTGTAGTGGGGGTGCTGTCTGCTCGGTAACCCCATGTCCCCCTGCACTGTGATGTGATTCCCACTGACTCACCCAAATGTGTATTAACCCAGACACCTAGGCTCAGCCTCCCAGGGAGAGAGACAAAAGGAGGAAGGTGGAGACCAGCACCAGGCTGGGGGCAGGGCCTTGGCGGGGAGGCAGTTGCTGTCTGGGAAGCATGGAGAGAACAGGCTAAGCTGGGGGCTAGGTGTGATGGACCCTAAGCCTAAGGGCCTGAGCCATCCTGGCCCTGCCCCTGGTAGCCACATCACATATGTGCTGTGCTGTATTTTGGAAAATCAATAAATCCCTCTCTATGCTACTGGCTGGTAGAGACTGATCTGGTTGTTACGGGGATGCTTTGGGGAAACCCCAACTCGACGTCACACCTATATCAGCTGAAATTTCATGTTAGAAGAAATGTTTGTGGGGTTGGCAGTTAACTACTATCTATGATCTCTTATTTATTATCTTTTATATAATTACAGCACCCTAGCAACCTATGGGAGCCACTTCTTCAATACCCATTTGAGTAGTTTCCTCTTTCCTATAAAGATTTGAGCACATTTTCCTCCATGTGGTCAATTTTAATTCATGTGGTTTGTTGACTCTAATTATCCATGAATATAAATCATAGAATCATAGATTCATAGAATAATAGGACTGGAAGGGACCTCAAGAGGTCATCGAGTCCAGCCCCCCACCCTCAAGGCAGGACCAAGCTCTGTCTACACCATCCCTGACAGATGTCTGTCTAACCTGTTCTTAAATATCTCCAGAGAGGGAGATTCCACCACCTCCCTTGGCAATTTATTCCAATATTTGATCCCCCTGATCGTTAGGAATTTTTTCCTAATGTCCAATCTAAACCTCCCTTGCTGCACTTTAAGCCCAATGGCTAGACAGGTTTTGAATGCTGATTATGGAGAAAATGTCACCTCCTCTTTCTGGTGCAGTCTATGTTTTGAATTGACATTTGTTTACTTTTTTATGTAAAAGAACAACTGTAGGATAGAGAATATTTTGATAACTCCTTGCCACAAAAACTGGAATTGAAAGGCAGGATGGTAGGAATTCTCATCCTAGCCTCATGGAAAGCTAGAATTTTGTGTGTGTATTTTTATGACACAGGAAGGAATACCCATGGGGTTATGATAATATGTACAGAATTGTACATATGTAGAGCAATGGAAGGAATAGGAATCATCCTAGGAGTCTACTACAGGCCACCTACCCAGGCGGAAGAGGTAGATGAGGCTTTTTTTAAACAACTAACAAAATCAACCAAAGCCCAAGATTTGGTGGTGATAGGGGACTTCAACTATACAGATGTATGCTGGGAAAATAACACAGCAGGCCACAGACTATCCAATAAGTTCTTGGACTGCATTGGAGACGATTTTTTATTTCAGAAGGTTGAAAAAGCTACCGGGGGAAGCTGTTCTAGATTTGATTTTAACAAATAGGGAGGAACTTGTTGAGAATTTGAAAGTGGAAGGCAGCTTGGTGAAAGTGATCATGAAATCATAGAGTTCACAATTCTAAGGAAGGGTAGAAGGGAGAACAGCAAAATAGAGACAATGGATTTCAGGACGGCGGATTTTGGTAAACTCAGAGAGCTGGTAGGTAAGGTCCCATGGGAATCAAGACTGAGGGGGAAAAACAACTGAGGAGAGTTGGCAGTTTTTCAGAGGGACATTATTAAGGGCCCAAAAGCAAGCTATTCCGCTGTGTAGAAAAGATAGAAAATATGGCAAAAGACCACCTTGGCTAAACCACGAGATCTTGCATGATCTAAAAATAAAAAAGGAGTCATATAAAAAATGGAAACTAGGAAAAATTGGGTTTGTTTAGTTTAGAAAAAAGAAGATTGAGGGGGGACATGATAGCAGTTTTCAGATATCTACAAGGGTGTCATCAGGAGGAGGGAGAACTTGTTTATCTTTGCCTCTGAGGATAGAACAAGAAGCAATGGGCTTAAACTGCAGCAAGGGAGGTTTAGGCTGGACATTAGAAAAAAGTTCCTAACTGTCAGGGTAGTCAAACACTGGAATAAATTGCCCAGGGAGGTTGTGGAATCTCCATCTGTGGAGATATTTGAGAGTAGGTTAGATAAATGTCTATCAGGGATGGTCTAGTCAATACTTGGTCCTGCCACGAGGGCAGGGGACTGGACTCAATTACCTCTCAAGGTCCCTTCCAGTCCTAGTATTCTATGAATGAATCCGGTGGTGTATTTTGCTATAGAGTAGAACTATATTTATATTCCTGTTCTAGAAACAATATGAAATTGAGTGTTCAAAGAGAAGGTATAGCTCCAAAATGCACATTCAAGGGCCAGATTATGACATTTTGAATCCTTAAGCTATGTCACATATAAGAGGCACCATACCATCAAATATATTTATTTCCAGTTAACATCTGTGTCTCAGTTCTCCAGCCTTTCAGAGAATCCTCTGAACTCTCATTCATGCTTTTAAAGACTAACAAGATGGTTTATTAGGTGATGAGCTTTCGTGGGCCAGACCCACTTCCTCAGATCAAATAGTGGAAGAAAATTGTCACAACCATATATACCAAAGGATAGAATTAAAAAAGTGAACACATGTCCTTTTCATAGGTGTTCACTTTTTTTTTTAAATTGTATCCTTTGGTATATATGGTTGCGACTATTTTCTTCCACTATTTGATCTGAGGAAGTGGGTCTGGCCCACGAAAGCTCATCACCTAATAAACCATCTTGTTAGTCTTTAAAGTGCTACATAGTCCTGTTTTTTGTTTCAGCTACACCAGACTAACACGGCTACATTTCTATAACTAATTTAATAAACTTTATGCTAGACACAGAGGCCATCCTGTGGTAGAATGTAGGTAGCAGCACACAATGCTTATAATTTGGAAGTAAAGTTGAAGCACTCTCTCAATAGTTTCATGATTATGATTGATTTGTATTACTCAAACTAGGAGCCCTCGTAATGGGCCACCCCATTATGCTAGGTTCATGTATATATTTTGATATCTGGATCTAGAGTTGTTGCAGAATAAGTAGCTACAAAGAGAGAGTACTCAAAAATAATTGCTTTCAACTGATGTCTAACATGTTAGCAGAGTGAGTGACAAATACTATAAAGCTAGATTCAGCTGCTACTGACAATGAATGGCCCCACTTAAATGTAATCTGGTCTTAGTGAGGGTTTTTTCTTTTTATGGAGAAAAAGAAATAAAATATTCATTCATTTTGTAACTTGTATCTCACTGAATGGTTTGATTTAATTCCTGTGTTTTTTCTTCATTGCTTAAAAGAAATCTAGCTTTTTAGGCTGAATCTGTCATCAGCAGATAAATTAGATTCAGACTATTTGCCTTTCTCCTATTGTAAAATTATAGTTTGCTTACTGGTGATAGTTACTTCAGGATATTCTAATAACATGAGCACTAATAACTGAATATAAAAAACAAAGTTGTACAGTAAAAAAAAAGACTAGTCCACTGTTTAGAATTTCTGTTAATTTAAGATATTTAAAATTAATTTTGAATTTGAAGAAAGTTTTTTTTTTTTTTTTTTAATCAAGCAGGAAAATAACTTGAATAACATGTCTGCACAAACTTACTGGATTTTAAAGACTATTTCTATATATGTTACTGCCTATTAGGAATGTGGTACTGACCAACATTAGAACTAGGATACCGGACAAGGTCACCTATTAGACTGATTAAATATGGCAAATCTTGTGCTCCTAAAATATGGGGAGATATCGGTAAACATCAGACCATTCTGCAGTCAGTGGAGCCCTACATGTATACCCAAAATCCAAATGTAATTATTTGTATTTTCATCAATTCCTTTGATTTCAATCAGGAACACTAGTTAATTATTAGGCAAGGGGAAGACTATAAATAAAATACTGAGTGTTATCATAAAGAGGATGAAAAATTCCTGAACAGTTAAAGAGCACCCAGCTGCCAGACTGGTCTCTTCCTACATCAGCCACTTCATTTTAATTTTTTTAAATATTTATCAAGTTAAAGCAAATGTCACATAGAAATTCTGCCTCCTTATGCAGTCATTTCCTAAGGCAGAAACAAATGGAAATCAGTCTCTCAACTGTCCGTCTCAAACCAGTGTTTTTGCCAAGTGTACACTTTATTTTCCCACTTGAACCTGAGCTCTTCTGAAAGATCGCTTCTACCACTCTTATGCAGAAAACGAGATAGGAGTCGCTGTTTATCAGCTGCTCTTGGAAGATTCTTTTTCCAGAAGCAAAGAAGTTCATAGATCTGATGTGTTGGATTATCAGGGCACTTCAATCTAACAAGCTGAAGTGTGCTCCGACGGATAGGCAGGTGCAGAGAGAGCAATGATGCATTATCTTCTGAGAGCTCCTCCGCAAGCCAGTACATCAAGTGATCCCACAAAGCATCTGTTAGTCAAAATGTAAACACTTTATAACTTGTTATCTAGAGTCATTTTTTAAAAATCCTGCCACTATTTTTCTATAAAATCATATATCTTATATTTCTTGTTGCCTTCTCCTGGATAAATGTTTAATAGTAAAGATTTCCAAACTGGAGATACTGTTGACTTATGGCAAAATCTTGTTTCCATTGAGGTTAAAGGGCATTCTGTCACTGTCTTATGCAGAGTTCAGGTAAAATTCTGTCTACTCTGGTAATTTTGCACTCTGGCACAAACTTGGATTATTAACTTCCCTGACCCAGTAATGATCATTAATACTCAAATTGTGTAGAGGAAATCTGCAATAAAATGCAGCAACTCAAATATTTTTCCACAACAGATTTGAGAAGGGAACAGACCTTCAATTTGGCTCCTGAGAGAAAGCAGGGACTCCATTGACCACCAGGTTCCTCCTAGAGGAAAGGGAGATCCTAATCTTGAAACACCACTAATGGGAGGCATTCCTTGCTCTTATTACCTCACTTGAGTTGTATTGATTTTTCCTTGCGTTTTTGTTTGTGGCCTTGAACGGGAGAGACTTTGAAGTGACCTGGCTGGAGAGCCAAGTTGCAGTAAAGCAGCTGGTCAGCAAATAGCGGAGCGATCAACAGCAGCAGACTCCAATGAAGATAGGGGTGAGATAGCATGCCCAGTCACAAGGAGGCACCCATGCTGAGCTGACCCCTTCCCAGGACTTTGTAAGTTATTTGTTTCCCTGGTAAACCCCCTTTTCATTTAATTTAATATCATTTTAATATATTTTCTTCTGACCTTAATATACAAGGATTGGTTTAATAAATGAAAATAATGGCTTCAACTTGATTAGTGTATCTTAATAAAATTAACTTTAAACATCTATTGCAGGGGGGAAAAAACCTCTCTTACCTGATGAATCAGTAGAAATTCTTTTTGTGCTTTGTGGCCTGTTGATCAATTTTTCATGCTACCAAAGAAAAAATATTTAGAGAAGGGGAATAAACAAATCTGTCAGGGACAGTGTGATATGAGAATGGAAAGCAGTAAATCAACACTTCAAGTTCAGCACTGCTTGTGCCATTACCACATATGGAGCCAAATTCAAAACTACTGTAAATAATCGCACACTGAGATAACTGAAACTGTGTCTTGAACACCAAATGACAACATGGCTAACTGTATTTGTCAATATGTCAACACTGTAATCATAGGAAGTGATTGGCACTTGTGTAGACATGCACAGTTTAGCTTTAATCTAGCTATCTTGGACCTTGTCAAGGTGTGACAGCATGGGCATCACCACTGGCTAGCTACTCAACTAACTCTCCAGGGTTCTCGGTGGGCTTCAGTGATCTGGTACCCACATTGTCTAGATTAAAGCTATTTCAGATATGTACATTTGTGTATCCTTTATAAACAAGTTGCTGTCTTTGTGCAGCTGTGTACGGTAGCAGATGTTCTAAGATAGCAATGTGCATCATGTGTCAATGTGACATATCTAATTTCAGATACTGGAAGAAATATTTCTGTGCATCCATGTGTACTTGATACAAGCAAATGCCAGTATCCGTAATTTTAAAGATGATGATGGCACCTAGCACACACCTAGAAATTCTCATTAATTTCATAGCATAAGCTTTAGGAAGGGCACACTCTTTACAGTAACGTTGTGAGTTTCATTGTAAAGGGGAAATGTGTGAAACTTCTTAGATGTATAGATTAATAATGCCACTTTGCTGCTATATAATTTTAACTGATTATTAAGATCATTTTAAGCAATGGTCTGTATTCTCAATGATAAAATGCAATACTTTTCCACTACTGCCCTTGATTCAGAGTTGGGGAATGGAAGCAAAGTTTTGCTTGCTATATTCCCCTTTCCTTGGTCCCTGTCTACCTGCTTGGAATGGGAGAATTACTGGTGCAGAGCTCCTCTTCTTACCTTGCATTCAACCCGCAAAATATCTGTATTGGACTTGGCCACAATCTGATCTATGTAATGTCAACAACCTTTTGAAAAGAGTGGCTTCAAGTGTTGCTTACAAACTGGAAAGAAGGAACTCCTTTTTCCTAAGTGATGGGTGTTGTAAAGACCACCACATCCTGAGTTCTCTACTCATCTAAGGTCTAGCTTCAACTCTGCATTGAGGCTGATTGCATCCTAATGGGGATTTTGTGCATAGCAGTGGAAGACCCAACCAATTTTGTATGCAGCTAAGATCCTAATTTGTCATGATAACATTCAAGTTTTACAGGAATGCAATTTCTCTCCAGTCAGTGGAGTTGCACTAGTATGAAAGGATTTTTCTAGCACTTTATGGTAAAGTCTTATATGAAATGGGATGAGAATCTTTCAAAGATGGACACTGTTTCTTTTTCAAAACCACAATGATCTTTTTTTTCATGCTTAGATATGCACTTATATTTAAATGTGGATTTTCATTTGCTAATGGAGATTTAGAGTTGCAAACTTCTGAAAAAGGCTTCCACAGATAGTAATTATAGATGAACTCAGCAGCCCATGGATTGACTTTAATGTGAACTACTTTGTGCTCCTCAGATTAGAAAAAGGTGAAAATTTATGTCCATTACTAAAATATGTACTATATTTAAAAATTTTAAATCTGCCTCAAAAGACTCAAATCTATGATGAAATATCAAATTCACCCAGAGTTTAACTTCACTGACATTTGGCTCCAAGTATTCTGGTTGACAGTCTAAGTACTAGAATACTCATAAGTGCTTTTCTAGTTTAAAAGGCCCTTCAATTAGCAAAAGCAGCTGCTTTGTTGAAGCATGGTATCACATGCTGTTTCACTATTAGACAGCCAGTAGGGATAAAAGTACAGCAGAATAGTAATTTGACAATGCTGGACAATATTGTTACAATATGTATATGCAAATCACCCTGATAGCTCTTCCTTTCATACAGTACTATAAAATTACAATAGGCTCCATCAGTTGGACTCTTACATATGTAAGCAGGAGCTGAAGGAATATGTCCCTTACAGCTACTGGAAGTAGGGAGTAAATACAGTTTGCTCCTGCTTTGCTTAGGTTTGTTAAATGTTCAGATGATGGAGTTGTATTTTGCTCATTGTAATCAACTTGGCAGGTGTTGGGTCACAAATCATGTTAATAGCAATTGCAAAGTCTGTAATTATTGTGAGAATACAAAAGAGAGTGTGCTTAAACTGGCTCAAAAGAGGGGGATGCTCCCAGTTTAAAGAATGAGACTCTAGGCATGTGCATATAAATACAAAAAACAACAAAAAGTCTGGTAGAACTTTATAGACTAACAAAACATGCAGATGGTATCGTGGCTTTTGTGGGCACTGGCCACTTCTTCAGATGATGGGAGTGTTGGACGTCTAGGCCCAAAATAAATAGGGGTCCTAGACATGATGGTACCACAATATGCCAACATCTTTATGGCTAACCTAGAATGACATTTCCTCAGCTCTCGCCCTCTAACATCCCTACTTTACTTACACTTCATCTATGACATTTTCATCATATGGACCCACGGGAAAGAGACTCTTGAAGAATTTCACAAGGATTTCAACAACTTCCACCCCACCATCAACCTCAGCCTGGACCAGTCTACACGGGAACTCTACTTCCCAGACACTACAGTACAATTAAAAAATGGACAAATCTCTACCACCCTATAGTAGAAACCCACTGACCGCTACACTTACCTTCATGCCTCCAGCTCCCATCCCAGATACATTTTTCAATCTATTGTATACAGCCAACCCTTAAGATACAACCGGATTTGCTCCAATCCCACAGACAGAGACAAACACCTACAGGATCTTTATAGAGCATTCCTAAAACTGAAATACCCACTTGGAGAAGTGAAAAAACAAATTAACAAAGCCAAAAAAGTATCCAGACATGAACTACTCCAAGACAGACCCAAAAGAGAAAATAACAGAATTCCACTTATCATCCACATTGTACAATTCAAACCTCTCCAACGCATTATCCACAATCTACAACCTATCTTGGAAAATGATCCCTCACTGTCACAGGCCTTGAGGGAAAGGCCTATTCTCACTTACGGACAACCCCCCAACCTGAAACATATTCTTCCCAACAACCATGCTACACAGATACATCATAAATGGAGACAACCATTGTGAAAGGTGACTGCTGGTGGAATCTCTCAGGCAGCAGGTGGGAGAGCTACAGGAGGAGGTGGCCAGGCTGAGGAGCATTCGAGGCCATAAGGAATCTCTGGACAGTATTCCTGTGGAGTCCACTGAGGTCACTGTCCTAGGATGTGGGACTGCTGACCCGCCACTTATGGAGGAGGTGGTGGTGCAGGGTGAGCACTGGCAGCTGGTTACTTCTGGCAGCAGGCAGTGTTCCACCCCTTCTCCTAACCCTCCCACTGTGTTGTTACATAACCGTTACACTATACTTTCTGCAGGAGACAAGGAGTCACCCCCCCACAGTGGAGGAGACCAGGCCTTGCACCACCAAGGTTGAGCAGTCTCCTGCCACCACTGCGAGGAAGAAACGTAGGGGAGTGGTGG